CCGCCACCATCACCAGCCCAGCCCTCGGCCCCCAAGCCCGCCCCCGCCATAGCCGCCGCCTCCCTCGCCACCGCCGCCCTCGCCGCCACCCCCGTCACCACCGCCTCCGAGCCCGCCCCCGCCCTCGCCTCCGCCGCCCTCGACACCACCCCCGTCTCCGCCACCGCCGAGCCCTCCCCCGCCCTCTCCCCCTCGGGCGTGGGGGCCGCCGCCCTCGCCGCCGCCGCCCTCGCCGCCGCCACCGAGCCCGCCGCCACCGTCACCCCCGCCCCCGTCGCCGCCACCTCCCTCACCGCCACCGCCCAGCCCGCCGCCGCCATCTCCCCCACCGCCCTCACCGCCACGCTGCCAGCGCAGCCGCCGGGCGACGCGACATCGGCTAGCGGCCGGAAGAGCCTCTCCAGTGCGGGCTGGGGGCGGCGGCGGCACTCTGCGGGTGGCGGGCGAGCTGCTGGCTGGCCGGCGGCGCGTCTCGACTCAAATTATGGGCCGCCTCTCGGGCGTGCGGCCAGGGGCCCGTGTGGCGCGAGGAGAGGGCGGCGCGCTCGGCGCGCTGGCGGCGGTGAAGCCTCTCAGAGTGGGCGCTGGCTGGCCGAGGGCGTCGGGCGGGTGTGGGGCGGCACTCGGGCCGCCGGACGGGCCGTGGTGCGTGGCCCGTGTGGCGTTCGTGAGGGACTGTTTGGGCGCCCCGGCAGCCTCCCGGCCGGCGTGACCAGGGCCGGTTTGGCAGCGGTTTGGGCTGTGTGTGGGCTGGTCGCGGTACGGGATATAGTGCTTGTTTATGGTCCTACTCACCACTCCCGGCCGACGGGGCCTCGCGGGGCGTCCTCGTTTGCAAATAAAGGCCTCTGCCATCGCTCAGAGTCCCAAACCATGTGATCATCCGCGCCGCCGCGCCCGTGCGAGTAGCCTCGGCCAGATGCGACGTCGGGAAGGGCGTCGTCGCGGGCGCCAACGTCGTCATCCGAGCCCCTACGCCTGTCCAAGGGCACGTCTGGGTGACCAGGGGCGGGGGCCGAGCCGTGAGTGCTCCGCCGGGGCGAGCTTCTGGGTCCATGGGACCGCTGCCGGACCCATCCGAGAGCCTCTCCGGACACGTTCGCTCGACGGCCTAGTTGGGGGCCGATGTTCGACGACCAAAGCTCCGGACGCCGCGGCCAAAGGTCCGCCCACGGCCCCAGGACTCGTGGTGGGTGTGGGGTGTGCCTCACGAGGCGGGGAGGCCGCGTGAACTCCCGTAGAAGCTCTCGCGAAGTGCGGATTTGGAGCGCCGCGCCGGACCTCCGCCGGGGCCCGCCGGGGCGCCGTATGGGCCTCGGGGTGCCCGAGAAGCTTAGAGGTGCGTTTTTTTTGGCTTGTGTCTATCGGTTCATGTCATGGACCGGCCCTGGGAAGCCTTTGACCGCGCGCGGAGCGGGTGTTACGGGGCCGTGATGATTTAGCGGGAGGGAGAAATCGGCCGATTTGCCCAGTGTGATATGCCTTATGGTACGACTGCGCAGCTGCATAGCCGATCCTAGCCATAGCCCATACTTACGCATTAAATAAATAAATAAAAACGGACACCTCTAATAGAAGATGTGGGTAAAAAGGTGTGTGAAACAGGTCCCCGCCCTTGCGATCTTTGTGCAGGGGTTCTTTGTGGGTGTGGTCGGCGACTCGTCCGTGAGATACTTACATGTACATGTACGTGTGTATGTGGTGAGACACGTCAAAGAGGTGCCCAAGCCTTCTCTCCTCTCCTCTCTTGAGGCGCAACGCAGCGCAGCTGCAAGGGGGAAAGCCAGTGAGTTGCAGAGAGGAGAGGAGCGGGTCATAGCAACTCGCAGCGCTCTCTCCACTGCTCGTAGGCGTGGCAGACGAAACTGAGCGAGCCGCAGCAGTCGGCGCTCAACCCGGCGCGCTCGTACACCTGCTCCGTCGCGTTGACCGCCCTCGCTGTCGGCACGCACCTTTCCTTGGAACAAACAGCAGTCAGAGAGACGGACTTTCGCCCGCGAGACCGGCACGCTGCTCTCTTGGCCAAGGGAGGACAAGGAGGACGAGGAGAGGGCTGACGACGGCGGGGGTGTTACTACTCCGTCTAGATCCGTGCTGGAGGCTGTCAAGCAGGACAAGGACTCGCACCGCTGTGGCTGGTACGGGTCGACCCTCTGCGTCTCGGCCTAATGAGGTGAAGGCCAGGTCGGAAGGAGCAGGCAACTGGCAACACACAAAGTGGTGGGGCAGGGGCGGGCAGCCCTCTGTCCCTCTGTTCCCCTCTCCACACCCAGACAGGCCGGGCACGGGCGATCGCGGCATTTTCCGAGCGGCTGCAAGGCCCAGTGAAGGTTGGGTGAGCAGAGCAGCAGACCTCGCAGTGGGACAGGTCGACGAGGGAGGGGCAGACTTTGTGCTCCACGCCCTGCGACCCTGTGCTCTGCGACGACCCGGTCCGCCAGGAGACCACCTATTCGTGAGAAGCAACCCGCTGGGTGCGCTCCGCTGCGCGAGCTTTTGTATGAGCTTTTAGACGGCTCGCAGTACGTGTTTCGTTGGCGCATGCTCCAAGCACCGCTGGCTCTCGTTGGGGAAGCGCGGAATCCAGTTTGGCCAGCGCATGGCATCACGCAAGCGCGGCGCCGGTGGAGGCGGTTGTGGCAGCGGTGGCAGCGATGGCGGACTTGATGGAGGTGGCGGCATACGCGGCGGCGGCGGCGGCAGCTTTGGCGGTGGGCGAGGTGGGCTGCCGCCGCCATTCATGTACGAACTTAGCATCCCGATGGTCTCTGAGCAGGACTCGAGCTCTGAGCAGGATCTCAAAGCTAGCGCGACAGGCGCGGCAGAACAAGCGAGGAACAGAACGCACGCGAGCCACTGGAGCGTTTTGCGGCAGCGCGGGGCAATTTGTTCCGAGGTTGAGGATACGCCTGAGTTCTCAGGTATCGGCCTCCGGGCACATGGCTCCTCGACCTCGATGAGCTCACGAAAGGCGGAGTGCTCTGGCATCCCGCCACCCTGCATCATGCTATTTCGTTTCTCCAGCACACGTGTTTCTTCCTTTGCACGTCACACGTGTTTCTTCCTTTGCACCTGCGAGCGCGCTGACACTACACGCGAGGGAGCCCATCGCACCACCAGGTGCTTCGCCTTGAAGTCTTTCCGCTCCCAACCGGCACTGTGCCACGATGAGCAGGCTCGGTTTGAGCCTTGCCACCCTTTATGTCACCAGTGCCGTCGCCTTCGCTCCTTCGCTGGGGAAGCCCGCTCCCGCCGCCAGCCGCGCCGTGGTGGTGCAGTCGTCCGAGCAGCGGCCCGGGCAGGAGCCCGGAGAACCACCCGTCGCAGAGCGACTGGCCGGTGCGCTATCGTCGGAGCAGCAGCCGTTCTCCCCGCGTTCGGCCGTCGGTGCGGCGCTGTGGACCGGCGCGGCCGACGCTGCGGCGCTGCTCACCTTTGCCGCAATTGGCCGCGGCAACCATAACTCGGCCGACGGCTCTGTGCTGACGACCGCCGCCCCGTTCCTGCTGGCGTGGTTTGCGGTCAGCCCCGCCGTTGGTGCATTCCCTGCCAATGCCAGGACGGTGCGCGATGCCGTGCTCCCCCTCCTTCCCGCGTGGGCGCTCGCGGTGCCGGCTGGCTGCTTCTGCAGGGGCCTGCTGCAGGACCGGCTGCCGGCTTCGCCCTTCTGGATCGTAGCCTTGATCGCGACGGCGGTGCTGCTCAGCGCGGGCCGGCTGGCGCTGCTCCAGATCTCGGAGGGCGAGCGCGCCATCGACCGCTTCGTCGCCGCCATCGTAGACGAGGATGGTGGGGACGACGACTTTTGAGAGGCTGAGGTTGCCCATTTATTTTCCCCAACAAAACAGATACTCATTACTCTACCAGTTCACGCGAGAGCTCCCTTGAGCAGTCAAAAATCAAAACGTAAAAAACTCGTGGCAGGGTTCGACACCCCCGATCGACGAGGCCGAGCGTTTTTGATCTCTGGGTCTCCTGTGGGGGGCCGCCTCGGGGTGGCGGGCGGGCGGGCGTTTTGAAAAACAGAAAACAAGAGGGGGCCCGGGGGGCGGGGGCCCGGGACCCCAGTGGGAAAGTAGAAAATACGCCCAAGGGGGCCGAAGGAGGCGGCGCGGGGAAGCAGCATCAGGTGAGAGCAGGAAGGATGGCGCTTAGGGTCGGCTTTGAACAAGGGTTTCCAGGTTTTAGATCAGTATTGGTGTCGGCACACATTCGCCACATGAGGTCAGCGGCGCGCAGTGCCTCTCTCGCAGGCTGATTTTGGCTGTTTTCGAGCTTGTTTTTGTTTTCAGTCTAGGGGGCCCGACCCCCTCAGAGGCGGCGGGCGGGCGCCCGCAGACCCAGAGATCAAAAACGCTCGGCCCGACAAACACGCACATCCCTCCTCCTAAGCTAACCCCGCGGACAACAGTCAACACAATCGTTGTGCGAATGATATAATATGTTTATTATGTACTTGTGTGTTATTGTGCATGTGCCCTTATTAGAGGGCCCACAGCGTCCTAATCTAAAATCTGAGGATTCAGGATTCAGGCATCGCTTTAGTGAGGCCAAAGTGAGTTTGTGGATGTGTGAGAACGATGCGCGACACGAGGAGGCACGCGGACCGACTCGTCGGCGACTTTGCTGCACGCCGTCTCAGATTTTTTCTCAGCGTGAGCGAGACGTGGAAGAGTGCCACCGTCGGGTAGGACGGGTAGGCCCGGAGCATCGGAGTAGCCGTCGTGGTCGCGGCGAGCAGCGCCGGCCACTCCGGCGCCGCGTCGGCAACATGGGAGCATGTCCACCGCCACTTCGCGGTCACAGCGCTGTTTTGTCGCCAAACGCCGCCATGTACCTTTTCGGGCAAACCATCGGAGCGGCCGCACATTGCTCGGTACCCCCCCTGCACATCTAAAGCCATCCCTGCTGCTAGGGGGGGGGGGGTCTGACCCCCCCAGCAGCAGAACGCTGCTGCTGGGGGGGGGGGGGGGGGAGTCACGCACGGTGCGAGTTTTGCTTGCGAGCGATTGAGTCGGGCCGGCGAGCGGGTATTGCTGCACAGTGCACTCTCGACGAGGGCGCAGGGGGGCGCTCGAGTCACCGCTCGTAGATCTGCATCAGCTGCGGGATCCGATCCAGCTCGCTCACGGAGAGCGTCCGCCTACAGCGATGTCCAATCACACACCGGACTGGGGCCCCTGACACGCCGAGGCGCGGGCCGCTGCGGAGTGACGCGGCGCCGGCTGGCGGAGCGGCTCTCCCACTTGGCTTCGAAGGCGGCCGCCGCCGCGTCGCAGAAGGCATCGTGTGAGATCGACGGCACTTTCTTTCAGTGTATGTGGCTTTTGTCTGAGTTTCCGTTTAAAATTCTTTTTTGTGCTAGCACGCGCCAGTTCGCACCTGTGTCGAGCCTGTCTGCTGAAAAGAATTTTACAACAAAACTCCCTCGCGTGTGCTGAAAAGAAAGAAAGAAAACAGACAAGCCAAGGGAGGGATGGGAGGACGGCACGCCGCCACCACACAGGGATTTTAAGGAGAGGTGTGTGATGCGCTAGCCGTCGCCCACCCTAGGGAGCCTGTCTGCTGTGAGAGGACTTGGTCTTTAAATTCTTTTTTGTGTGCCTGGGGTGCCTGATAGTCGATGTAGAGGGCGTCGTGTAGCCCTCCTTTTGGTATAAAAAATAGTCGATGTCCCGACCGCGCCGCGCGCGCGCCACGCTGCTCCTCTTGTGGGCGGGGAGCGTAGCTGGCGGGCGCGGCGTCGCTGTGGTCACCGGCGGGACCGGTGGCATCGGCCTGGCCACGGCGCGGCTCCTCGCCGCCCGCGGGAGCGACCTCGTCCTGGCGTACGGCGCCGACGACGCGCGGGCGGCGGCTGCCGCCGAGGAGCTGCAGTCTGCCCACGGCGTGCGCGTGGTCACGGTCGGCGGCGACCTGACGACCGACGCGGGCCGCGAGACGACGGTCGCCTCCGTCTTCGCCGCGGTCGACGGCGAGCTGGACGGCCGCGTGGCGAGCTTTGTGCACGCGGCGGGCTTCTTCCACGAGGGGCTGCTGAGCACGCACCTCGACGGCAGCATGCAGGACGCCTTTGCGATGTACGACGAGTACCAGTCGATCTACCCAAAGGCGCTCGTCGCCTTCGCCGAGGAGTGCATCCCGCGCATGGCCGACGGTGAGGGCCGGATCGTAGCCGTGAGCAACCCGGGCTGCAACACGATGCAGATACCGCGCGTGAACTACGACATGCCGGGGCAGGCCAAGGCGACGATGGAGTGGCTGGTGCGCATGTACGCGCTCCGCCTCGCCGGCCGCGGCCTCTGCGTCAACGCCGTCTCGCCGGGCTACACAGACACAAAGGAGTGGGACAAGGCGCGGCTCGGCATGGGGAGGGGCGACATGGAGGTGGGGAGGAAGCTGCTCGACGAGAAGATGCTCTCGCGCTCGCCGATGCGCCGCTGGGCCGACGCGTCCGAGATTGCGCAGACCATCGCCTACCTCGCCGCCGAGCAGACGGGCCTCATCACCGGCGCCTTCATTCCCGTGGACGGAGGGCTGCACCTCACATGAGACCCGGTGGGGGATGGATCGCCGCTTTGACGAGGAAGGGAGAGCCGCGACCGGCTGGGCCGTAGTCTTTGCAATACCAAAAACGCGGAGTATACCTGAGGAGTATACACAGAAAACAACCCGGCTCTATGGGCCAAAAGCGTCGAAAATGTCCCAAAAAGCGTGTCTCGAGTTTGTTGCAGCCCCACAGCCGGCGCGCGCTGCCGGGAAGCACCGCTCGCGTGTCGGCGGCACTCCCTGGCACCCAGTGAGTGCCGCGAACAGACCAGACCGATTAGGCTCGACGCCGTGCGCGCTGTGGGGCTGCAACAAACTCGCCGCCGAGCGTGCCACCGAAAGCGTCCCGGCAGAGGTGATGGAGTGTGAGACCTGAGGCTGCGGAGGTGACGCCTGAGGTACCGGCTCGTGCACGGCGACTCAGCCGGCGACCGCCACGGGCTCAGGCGAGACCTGTCGACGCGTTCCGGCTCAGCTTCACCATGGTCCTCGGGCGTCTGTCGACGTCAGGACCACCCATACAGCTCGAGGGTTTGAGGTCGCAAGAGCCAAGATGGTGGCGTTTGGACATCCCAACCATCCCACAAGACAGCCTGTAGGTGATGGCGGGACGGCGCAGTGTTTGTGGCACTCGGCAGTAGGCACCTGCGGCACGGCCCGCTGTCGGCTCTCGCGGGCTGCGGAACCGGACCCAGAAAGGGACGGTCCGGGCGAGTGTGGCAGCTCCTGCGCTAGTATGGGCACCCTCTATCACAATACTACTGATCCTGGTCATTAGAGCTGCCAGGGATAGCGTCAGGAGCCGGTAGGAGTCAAAACCCCTCATATTTGAGACATCGTGGCCCATATACTCGTGCAACAACCCAGGGTGACACCCCTCCCCCACACTGATCACTGTCTGGAGAACTAGGGATTGGTGTGATCTGACCGTACGGGCCCCTACGGGCTACGCCTACGGGGGAAGGACCCTGAGTTGCACAGGCTCAGGCACAGGGGGTGTGCGCCAGGCCCTCCTGCTCGGCATTCTGCTGTGAATGAAAAATGAATTGACTCGTCCCAGTGGATGTGTCCGATTTCCGACGTCCCTGTCAAAATGTGCGTGACGTCCGATCCTTTGTAATCGTCTAGAGACGCTGGATACATGAGCACGGAGCAGGCCGGTCCCGGCCCCACCCCCCACGCTGCGCCCACGGCCCGCGCGGCCCGGGCCGGCGCACGGCGCGCAGCTCCGCCCGGGAGCTCAGGTGCTACCGCTCCGCTTGTGCAGATCGAGTTTTAGGTATGTTACTGTTAACAACTAGCAACACTGAATTCAGCTCCTCCTCCAACGCGTTTGGCCGGGCTCTATTGTCTATATAAGGGCACAAACATGCACAAATATCACACAAACAACTCACAAGTACATAGCATTCGCAACGATTGCGCACTATTTAACACACCGACGCCTGCCAACAATGGAGATGCTTTGAGCCTGAACCCACAGGCGCGCTCAAAGCGGTGCAGACTGCAGTCCATCACCCACGCATTGCGCGCCTCCGACCGCGACACGAAGAGCGATCACCACCCTGTCACCACCGCACAGCGGCTAGCTAAAAGTACTTGAGCGGGTCCGCCTCGCTCTTTGCCACCTGCACCGCCGTGAGGGTCACGCTGCCGAAGTGGTCGTAGATGCGCGCGTGCGCGTACTCGCCGCTGGCGAGGCGGAGCTTGACAAAGTAGTTCGTGCCGGCGACCACCTGCATGGCGCGTGCAGATCCGGTGAGGAGCGACCACCTCGGTCCGCCGGCCCGCCAGGAGGGGGGTGGGGGGGGGGGGAGCACCTGGGAGGCCGCCTCGACAACCGTCGGTCGGGAGGTCAGCATGCCGTTCCGCCCGCTCGCCTGCGTCGCGCGCTCCAGCGCCTGGGTCTGGTACACCTCAGCGACCACCTCAGCGAGGCGCGCGTCGGCGGGGTCGAGCGAGCGCAGCCCGCCCGGCATGGTGCGCGGCGGCTTGATGCACTTCTTGCCCGCGCCGGGGATCGAGATGCCGCCTGGTGGGTGGCATCGCTGGGGGTGGGCTGCTATTTAGGGCACCCGCAGGCCCGAGCGCCGCAGGCGAAGACGGAGGGGCGGGCGCGCAAACCGGAGGACTGACAGACGAGCCCACGAGCGCACGCGGGGAATTGTTTGCCGGTCATCTCGTTGAAGCCCTCGCACGTCTCGCCCAGCTGCGCGCCGCCGCCTTCCTTGAGCTTCTGCCCAATCCACCGGGCGAGAGT